TCTGGCTCTGTTTGATCGAGTATTCTTTCCCTTTCAGATCAATTTCTAGGGTTTCCCTTCCAGAGCATGCCCTGTATTATTATGTGTTGCTGACGTCTCTTTCTATAAGCACGTTCACTTCATACCGTTTAATCTTTGTTTGTCCTCTAATGCAGTGTACCAGTGTTTGTAATCTTGGCGGTGAAGTTGGCTGCATGATTAGTGAGGGACCGTGGCTATTGGTTGGCATGCCAAATCTTGTTAAGGTAAGTTCATAGTATGATGACTGGCATCTTTTCATGGATGTCAAGACTCGCTTCTATTGTTTCGGAATCCTCTTGGGTTATCGCTATTCTTGATGTGAATGGATTCTTGATGGCTGGCTATCTCCAGGCGTGGAATGTTCAAAACAATGCAGAACATACCCTAACTGGACCTGTTGGCCAAGTGTACTCACTGATCGCGGCTAATGATCTACTGTTTGCCGGCACAGAGGTGAGAGATTTAGCCGGCTGGTCCTTTTTATGTTGTCCCTATGGACTAGGAAGTGAACAAGTTTTGCCAATAAAGGGTATCTCTCTCTGTCTCTGCAGGATGGTTCTATTCTGGTTTGGAGATTTAATGGCGCCACTGGTTCTTTTGATCCTGCTGCTTCACTCAAGGGCCACACACGTGCAGTTGTTTCATTATGTGTTGGAAAGAACAGAATTTATTCGGGTTCCATGGACAATTCTATAAAAGTAAGTATCCTTTCAGAATTAAAAGTCGTGTTTCTGTTTGCGTTTGAGCTAACCCTTTTCCTTTTTTTCTGTTTCTTTTCTGAAGGTATGGAGCCTCGACAATCTGCAGTGTATACAAACACTCACAGAGCATGAATCTGTTGTCACGTCCCTCATCTGCTGGGATCAGTTTCTTCTGTCTTGTTCATTGGACAACACAGTCAAGGCGCGTGTCTTACCTTGTTGCATTATGTTTTTCTCTCCACGAGCAAGGTTGTAGATTATAATCTTATGGTTTTTGGTGTGTCTTTTGGGTGATATAGATTTGGGTTGCTACCGAAGGTGGGAACTTGGAAGTGACATACACTCACAAGGAAGAACATGTACGGTTTCCTTACAAAACCCTGTTCATGAATCATGCATATTGCCGTGTAAAGCTATCCTATCCGCCTCTCCTGGTTATCTATCGGTTATAACTAACGAATATTATGGGTTCAGGGTGTTGTAGCTCTAAGTGGCATGCATGATGCAGAAGCCAAGCCGGTGTTGATGTGCTCGTGCAACGACAATTCGTTGCGCCTCTATGACTTGCCATCGTAAGTCTCTTTATTTCTTCAGACAATCAGTTATCTTCTGAAACCTGGTATCTGTGTCCTGTCTCCTGCTCAAATGTTTGAACATTTTTTAATTCATTGCTGGCCAATCAGATTTGCTGAGAGGGGCAAGATTTTCGCAAAAGAAGAGATAAGATCGATCGAGATAGGTCCCGGAGGCTTATTCTTCACCGGTGATGGAAGTGGTCAAGTTAAGGTGTGGAAGTGGAACACCGAACCAGCTGCCGCTTCCTCCTCTTGAGCACAAGACTTTGTTATCTGTCTCTTTTGAGGATTTGGGTATCGGAAGAAGAGCCTTTTTTTTCCTTGCTTGTATTTTCTGAGCCCCTCGCCACTGCTGAGGAGGATCTGCCCTGTAACTCCATTCATTTGCCTGAGAGAGAAAAAGACAATTGTAAACATTGAGAAGATACGGAGAGAAGTTCTGTGTCATTATTAATACATGGGTCTGAGATTTTTTCCCCCTCTTGGAGACAATGAATGGTCTGATGGCGATTGTTCGTGGGACACATTGTTAGATGAAAGCTCTTGGGGAAAGTGGGGTTCTGTCTGGGTTTCTTGTGGTTTGCTTTTTCTCTTATAGTTTTTTTTCTTTTTATGTTCTCTTTATGGTCTGTAAGGTTTCAAGAACTGATTTGTACAGAAGAGACCTAATCCTTAACAAGGAAGAAGACAGACATATTCCCTTGTGAATGCTGTCACTGTCTATCGACCGAAGCAGAGTTACAGAATCCAGAACATCATGGTATAAGATTCAATCCCATTTCTATGTTTCGATCACAGTATAAGATTCACAATCTATCTTCCAACTCTGAAGGGGAACAAGCTTCTGTCCTAACACTTTGGCACCAGAGAGTAGAACAAAACCTTAGGAAGACAAAAGGAAGAGAGCCCCGGACCATATGGTGGGGACATATCAGCTTTTCATTGACGCGGAACCATTCGGGTAGGTGGCAGATCATCTGTCTTTGTTGCTCGCGATCTCGAATCGGAAAGCCGGAGGAGAGCTCCCAATGGATGGGAAAGAGAATGGAGTCACAAAACTCAGGAAACTGAGACGTAGTTCAGAGAAGCTTGCTTAGTTATTGGATTGGAATGTCACTCTGAGGACTGCAAGCTAAGAAGCCACAAAGGTGTGTACATATGTAACCTTTGCCTTGCGGATGCCAAGTTGATCCTGATGCGGAATTAAAATCTGGATCATAAAATGTTGAAACGATAAGAACATATATATCTATAGATATTATCGAAGACATACCTGACTCCATTTTGTGATGGATACCGTAGTGTGTGAAACTTCGGGAATAAGTCTTCTGGATTAACAAAGTGATAAAACAATAACTCTACGGAATTTGGGGTACTATAGAATTTGTATAAAACACAACGCTCTATAATCCACTGACCACAATCCTATTTATATAAAATAAACTTTCTGTAATTTCATTTCCACCTATAAAAGAAATGATAATTACATAATTGGCATCTGCATATAAGTCCTACATTTTTCTGAAATGTTATTTAGGTCTCTTCTTAATTAGATCACAAAATGACCTTATTAAAATAGTACATAATATATGTCTTAATTTGATTATATGTTGATTCACCGAATTACTAGAAATAATTCTAACAGATCCAACCTGTATTAAGAACCAGTACGTATACCAAGAGAAATGGGATAAATGAAGCAAATACGAGGCCATATGGTCCACGGGATTGGTGTCGGATATTCAAATTATATTATGCACCCGCAAGTATCCAAATTTGGCGTGTTTATGATTAAAAGCGCACAAGTACATGGATTACATACAAACAAGTTGTACAATTACTGAAAAACATTTATATTCGAAGTAATTACATCATACAATGAAATAAATGTGAAAACAATTAGATATTAATACAAATAAATTTGTATTAATTCAAAAAAAATGTTATGTCCATTCTTATACTATTAGTGTTTATCCAGCTCAAAAATATCAATTCGAATTTTGGGTTTTAGACATATTATAACTCGATCTCTATCTCGTTGTTAGATGAGTATCCAAAATTCTAATACCGATCCTCGGATAAAGAAAAATATCCGAAATTTAAGTATATTTGTCCACCCCTAGTTTCTAAACTTAAATACGATGTCATTGTAGACATCATACGGACAAAAATCCATCTATAGTAGGAGAACCCGACATGAAGGTTGAAAGATTTGAAACGGAGTCCCTAAGGATAAACACCCATAACCTTAGACTTGGAATTAGTTTTTTTTTTCTTTGCTTCTTTGAGTGAAATGAGATTAAAATTTTCATCGATTCTTCTTCCCAAAGGATCCAAATTCGATAGTTTGATAGGGGTGGGTGTTTCTGTATTCGATTAAAGTTCGGTTCGATAATTATTCGATTCGACTATTTCGGTTATACAAAAAAATATACCTCGTTATCATGTCATATTCGATTCAGTTCGGTTTCGATTTTTATTAAGAAAAAAAAATACATTTTCTTAAAAAAGTTTCGATTTTTTTATTTTTTAAAATTTATTTCGATTCAGTTTCGAGAAATCCAATTCTCTAAAAAAAATTATTATTCAATAATTTTGGACAGTTCTATTTGAAACCGTTATCGAGTTTTTCGGTTCAGTATACGGTTCGTTTCCGAAGAATCGCATTGAAACGCCTATCACTACCTTGACTTATTTTGATGGGTGTTTGTCATGAGGTTGGGAGACATTTGCATTGATCTTTCACTAGGGTTTTGATAATTTCATTGAAATAACGTCGAAAATTATAGTTTCGGTTAATGTTTCTAAGCGGTTTGAATATTATGAAAAAGATGTATATGTGAATACTAAAATTTGAATAATTGGTAAGAAAAAAAATGAATCTTGATTAAAGTTTTTAAACTCATTCCTTTAATTAAAACATCTACGTATGTAAAATCATTTTGTCAACGTGAACAAGAAAATCTAAATTGATAAACATGAAAGAGATTGAGGGTTATATTCTTTTCGAAAAAGATTTTCATTCTTGATTGACCCAAAAACCATTTTTTTCTCCATTTTTTTTTTTGTTAAGCCAACGCTCACGAGTTATTCATAACGTATGATGAAATGAATATTGTCTCCATGACATATGTCTTTACATAACTGATATGCATATATGTGATAGTCCGAAACTATTTTTCCATTCTTATTTCTCAATTCATAAAATAGATGTTACATATAATCTGAGTTTTAATCCCAATTCTCACAGCGGCATTATCAAAAATATATTTATTTTATTATTTTTACTTCAACATATACCCTTCTCATTTAAACCGAAATATACTCTTCTCAATTCATAAAATAGAGACCCAATTCTAATATTTGATTCTTTAAATATCTTGAATTTTTAAAAAAAAATTGTATAAATCTGCGAGGTTCATTTATCTTCACCTCGGTTCTTATTTTACATTATAAATGGGAGTATAATATATGTGATCAAAGAGATAATCTTTAATCAATTGGATAACTCTTTCCTTTTTATTTTTCAGTTCATTTTCAAAAAAAAAAAATCAGAAAAATGGAAACAACAAAAAGAAAAACCAAAAAGTACTGTTTTACCCTCACATAAAGGATGGAATTACATATCCACACAGGCAGTTAATTGCTAATACATGGGTAGAAAGGCCATTTAAAGTTGAACGTGAACCTGACGCAGCTTCTTCTCCATAAGCGAAAGCTATAAATACCAGAAGAGGCTCAATCGGTTGTCTTAGTTGATCATATTCGAAGTTCTGAGTTCTTGTTGCCGATTCACATAATCTGCTAAGAATCTTCCCTTTTCGTCGAGAGATTACTCGCACTGAGAGGTAAATTTCTAGGGTTTCTGTTCAATCCGGCGCTGTTGATTCGTGATCGGATTCAGTCTTTTTTCAACAACGGCGATTCGTTCGAAGATTGTGGGATAAAATCCCGGTTCGAATTTCTCCGATCGTCTCGTAATTTTCGCCGTTTGGTGTTGATCTGAGTTGTAATTAACCGAATCGATGGGTCTAGACATGTACGGCAGAAGCACGCTTGTCTACCACAGACTCCGGGGACACACAGCGCCATCGGACTCGACGCAGAAGGTCTGTTTCCACTGGAGAGCCGGCAGGTGCAATCGCTTCCCGTGTCCTTTCCTACACAGAGAATTGCCAGGACCGGGTCAAGCCACAGCGTCGTCGTCGAACAACCGAGTCGCCGACGAGTCCGGGTTCGCGGGTCCGAGTTACCGGAGAGGACCTGGGTTCAACGGGAACGGCAATTCATGGAGGAGATTTGGCGGCAGCAGGACGGTGACGAAGACGGAGAAAGTTTGCCGTTTCTGGGTTCAAGGGAATTGCCAGTATGGAGACAAGTGCAGATACTTGCACTGCTGGAGCATGGGAGATAGTTTTTCTTTGTTGACTCAACTCGGCGGCCATCAGAAGGTGCGTTTTCTGATTATGCCTTTGTCTGAAATGTGCCGAGTTTCATGTTGATTTTGATGGGCTCTCATTGTGAATTTCCGTAGCAGCTTGTTAGTTCGATCGCTCTGCCATCAGGATCAGATAAACTTTACACGGCCAGCCAAGATGAGACTTTGAGGATCTGGGATTGTGCTTCTGGACAGGTTTTGATTCCCCTTTTCACTTCTGGCTCTGTTTGATCGAGTATTCTTTCCCTTTCAGATCAATTTCTAGGGTTTCCCTTCCAGAGCATGCCCTGTATTATTATGTGTTGCTGACGTCTCTTTCTATGAGCACGTTCACTTCATACCGTTTAATCTTTGTTTGTCCTCTAATGCAGTGTACCAGTGTTTTTAATCTTGGCGGTGAAGTTGGCTGCATGATTAGTGAGGGACCGTGGCTATTGGTTGGCATGCCAAATCTTGTTAAGGTAAGTTCATAGTATGATGACTGGCATCTTTTCATGGATGTCAAGACTCGCTTCTATTGTTTCGGAATCCTCTTGGGTTATCGCTATTCTTGATGTGAATGGATTCTTGATGGCTGGCTATCTCCAGGCGTGGAATGTTCAAAACAATGCAGAACATACCCTAACTGGACCTGTTGGCCAAGTGTACTCACTGATCGCGGCTAATGATCTACTGTTTGCCGGCACAGAGGTGAGAGATTTAGCCGGCTGGTCCTTTTTATGTTGGAATCCTCTTGGGTTATCGCTATTCTTGATGTGAATGGATTCTTGATGGCTGGCTATCTCCAGGCGTGGAATGTTCAAAACAATGCAGAACATACCCTAACTGGACCTGTTGGCCAAGTGTACTCACTGATCGCGGCTAATGATCTACTGTTTGCCGGCACAGAGGTGAGAGATTTAGCCGGCTGGTCCTTTTTATGTTGTCCCTATGGACTAGGAAGTGAACAAGTTTTGCCAATAAAGGGTATCTCTCTCTGTCTCTGTCTCTGCAGGATGGTTCTATTCTGGTTTGGAGATTTAATGGCGCCACTGGTTCTTTTGATCCTGCTGCTTCACTCAAGGGCCACACACGTGCAGTTGTTTCATTATGTGTTGGAAAGAACAGAATTTATTCGGGTTCCATGGACAATTCTATAAAAGTAAGTATCCTTTCAGAATTAAAAGTCGTGTTTCTGTTTGCGTTTGAGCTAACCCTTTTCCTTTTTTTCTGTTTCTTTTCTGAAGGTATGGAGCCTCGACAATCTGCAGTGTATACAAACACTCACAGAGCATGAATCTGTTGTCACGTCCCTCATCTGCTGGGATCAGTTTCTTCTGTCTTGTTCATTGGACAACACAGTCAAGGCGCGTGTCTTACCTTGTTGCATTATGTTTTTCTCTCCACGAGCAAGGTTGTAGATTATAATCTTATGGTTTTTGGTGTGTCTTTTGGGTGATATAGATTTGGGTTGCTACCGAAGGTGGGAACTTGGAAGTGACATACACTCACAAGGAAGAACATGTACGGTTTCCTTACAAAACCCTGTTCATGAATCATGCATATTGCCGTGTAAAGCTATCCTATCCGCCTCTCCTGGTTATCTATCGGTTATAACTAACGAATATTATGGGTTCAGGGTGTTGTAGCTCTAAGTGGCATGCATGATGCAGAAGCCAAGCCGGTGTTGATGTGCTCGTGCAACGACAATTCGTTGCGCCTCTATGACTTGCCATCGTAAGTCTCTTTATTTCTTCAGACAATCAGTTATCTTCTGAAACCTGGTATCTGTGTCCTGTCTCCTGCTCAAATGTTTGAACATTTTTTAATTCATTGCTGGCCAATCAGATTTGCTGAGAGGGGCAAGATTTTCGCAAAAGAAGAGATAAGATCGATCGAGATAGGTCCCGGAGGCTTATTCTTCACCGGTGATGGAAGTGGTCAAGTTAAGGTGTGGAAGTGGAACACCGAACCAGCTGCCGCTTCCTCCTCTTGAGCAAAAGACTTTGTTCTCTGTCTCTTTTGGGGATTTGGGTATCAGAAGAAGGGCATTTTTTTCCTTGTTTCTGTATTCTGAGCTCCTCGGCATTAATGAGGAGGATCTGCCCTGTAACTCTCATTCATTTGCTTGAGACAATTGTAAACATATAGTCTTTTGAAGATACAGAGAGAATTTATGTATCATTATGAATAGATGAGTCAGATTTTGAATGGTCTGGTCTGATGATGATGATGATTGTTTGGGACATTGATTATTTTATTCTCTGTGGGGTTCACAGAGTTTTAAATCCAATGATAAGCACTGATATAGAACGGTTTTTGAGATTTTTGAATAACATATTTCAGAGTTGATACACAATATATAAATTTGGATAATAGATTACAGAAACATCACTTATTTATCAGATAATGTTACCATTACAAGATTGGGGAGAGAACTTCAAAGATTGAACATAACCTTAATGGCATTACCACCACGAGCACTGGTCTCAAAGGCATCTTCCACTTCCTTCTGTGAGAAACCAAACCTGTGAGTTATGAGCGGCTTCACATCAATCTTCCCACTCTTGAGGAACTCAAGACACAGTGGCCACGTGTTCTTGTACCTGAACACTCCGATCACATCCACCTCCCTGTCTCAATCCAAAAACACCTCCATACAATCAGCTATCTTCTTGTCAGCAGATTTCCATTCCACCAGAGAAAGGACTTAGAATTTGTGCCATTGCCATCAGATAGCACCAGACGATGACCGTCTCAAAACGTAAAGCTTCTGGCTTTGTACCAAACTCATGGTGGGTTTTCATGGAAGGAGAAGGAAAGAGGGAATACTTTACCTAGCAGCAGCAGGAGTAAGGGGGACTGTCATTTCGCCGTGTCCCATTCCGACAAGACAGACTTTACCGCCACAGCGGGTGGCAGCAAGTGCTGTCGACATTGTTTTGTTGAAACCCGCACAGTCAAAGGTCACGTCAATGTCCGCCCCCATAGCCTTACGTATCTCTTCCACTTCCGCATCAACGTCCTGCACAAAGAAGGAAAGCCCGGTTACTGAAACAGACGTTCAAAAACATTACGTATTATATGATAATCTCGGTGCAAAACATGATATCTATGGTATAACCTTCATGTCGGTTGTGACTTTGACAATGTCATCTGCCCCGAGTTGTTTGGCTACACACAAGCGGTGATCATCGACATCGACAATAACAATTCTGGGAACTCCAAAGGCACGAGCAGCGAGCATGGTGACAAGGCCGATAGGGCCGGCTCCCATTACCAAAGCAGTAGTTTCAGGACCGATCTCAGCACGGCGGCAGGCATGAACACCGACACTTAGAGGTTCACACATTGCTCCTTCCTCTAAACTCACATTCTCGGGCAATTTAAAGCACAGGTCAGCAGGATGAACCACCTTCAAAAACATAACGACGACACCTGTCAATGTCATTACACCGATTTCGTTTTCGAACAAACTTAAAAAGATCTTGAAGGGGGTGGACCTGGTGGGCAAGAGAGCCATGAACAGGTGGGGTGGCGAAGAACTTCATATCCGGGCAGAGATTGTATCGACCATCCTTGCACAGGTTGCATCTCCAGCAACTAATTCCGGGCTCTAGAGCCACTCGATCACCCGGGACGAGATGTTTAACCTCACTCCCGACCTCCTCAATGACTCCAGCACATTCATGCCCGATCACCATCGGTTCTTTCACCTCGAAATGCGCGCATTTCAAGGTCTTGTTGCCATACCCAAGAACAGGATCATCGCAAAACAGATAGAAATGGATTCAGGTTGAATAGCTGGAAAAAAAATCAATCCGTTCCAAGAGAAACAGGATTTGCATGATGAATTCATCAAAGAAAGCTGATGCTCTCTATCCAAGGATACCTTGAGGTAGTGAACATCGCTTCCACAGATACCCACAGCTTTCATCCTGACTCTGACATCATGAGGACCTATACATATACATATACACAAAAACCCACATGAAATCGTCAGTTTGGAAGGGAATTGAACAAAAAGGGTCACTCCAAAATCTGCCCATAACGAAGATAATCCAATCATATCCCAGAGAAATTCATGAGATTGGGGGGTGAAAAACGCATAAATAGATAATCATTCGAAAGATTCATGTATCATACCAAGCGAAGGGATCTTAAAAGGTTGGATCTTTAGCGTGTTGAGACCAACCAACCAAGCAGCCATGTTTTCTTCCAACCCCTTCGGAGCTTCCTCGTGAGACATCCCTCCTTTCCCCATAATATCCTTCGTACAACACAAAGCTCTCCTGTTTGGTTTTTTTTTGTCCCTTCAGAACTATTGATCTTGATCTGTATCTATAAATAAAACCAGAGAGAAACACGAGCCTCAAAATATAATTTTTATTTATTTTCCTAAAAGTTGCAAAATTTAATTTTGCAGTAAAGGGTAATCACAGATTCCGCAATAAATAGATATTGACCAGATAAGAACAAGCGGTTGACAGACAGATGTGGATAAAACTCGAGATGAGCTAACGATATGTTTGATCTGTTTGGGTTTAAAGATGTAATTTTTGGGATGTTACTTCTAATTTTAATCTGAATAAACCCTGAGAAATCAGATAAGGGCTATACGTATGATGTCTGTCAATGAGATTCAATCAATCTCGACCGTTGAATCTTATTCGTGATCTTGATGATTAGATTCATTCTGAACCGTCGATTTCATAGATTTGAGACAAACAGTAGATTATAAGATCTGAAGTGAACGCATCCGACAAAAATCACGATGCGTATCTGAAGGTGGAGAATCGGTGGGAATGAGAAAATTCACCGGCGATTTGTTCGCCCACTGAAGGCAAGCCCGATAGATTTGAATAATGGGCTTATTCGGCCCATTACAGTACATGAATTTTAAGTCCGTCATGGCCCATTAGATCAATTCCAAATAGTGTATGGGTTTATGTTCAAATTCAATTTTCTGTCTCAAATCGGGCTGTGGACCATTTGGTTTAGTTCTGTTTGGGATACGGTTGTTATTGATAAAAATATTTATTTTTATAGAAATTTTGAATTTTTTCGATTATTTTTTTACACGATTCTGCTTGGATTCAGTTTTCGGTTTTAAAAAATTCTAATCATTTCATTTATATATCAGATTTGATTGAGTTATAATTATATATTACTTATTTCGAATCGGTTTGATTATTCGGTTATAAATTAAATTGACCAAATAGCATATATATATATATATATATATATATATATGTATGATTTATTAGTTGACAATAAAAATGTCACAGTTAAACAAAGATTTGGTTTCGAAATTGATTGGATATTTTAATTTATTTTATTGTGTTTTTTTATCAAACAATTAGAATGATCTAGCTCCATTTCGTTTTTTAACTGTTTCAATGTAAGATTACAAGTATCGTATTCATTGTTAAAAACATAATTTTCTAAAAATTCTCTACCTAAAAATGAAAATATATCTAATTTTGGTAATATTATAATTTGCATAAAATTAAAGAATATTACACGATATTACTTCCACAAAGGCATTCTCAACAGTACTATTCTGTGGCTGGATTTTCTCACTTTAAATAAATGTTATTTTAAATCATATTGAATTAGGTCATGACACGTGGAATGTATTATTTTTATTTCGTGGCTGTGATTGGGATCACCAACAAAAAGGTGGGTAGACACAGTTTTCTCCAATTTCAGAAATGGGTCGGTTGATATGGCATTTAAAACTAATAATATAACAATTATATATATATATATATATGTATATATATAATCTCATTAGATTGCGACTAGTGCTTTGGATGACCTAAAACAATAAAATTAAATATTCACATTCTACAACAATATTACATATTGCGATGGAGTAGCATTGATTTTTTTTAATATAAAGTATAAACTATATAACCACCATATATCCGTTACTCATTTGTAGCATACATTTACCCATTTCTTATTTTTCACCTTTTTTTTTTTTGCTGAATTGTTGGGTTTGGATAATTTTTATCGGATGGAATGGGAATTGGAATAATTGAAAAAAAAATGGATCTAACATTTACATATTGACTGAAACTGGGAAATTAAAAATGATTAATTATTATATAAAAAAAAGGAGAGTGGGAGGAGGGAGGGAGCTTCACGCAAGAAGCCATTATCATCTCTCCACACAATACTCACCTCACCCACTTTCCTCCTTTTCTCCTCCCTGTATTCTTCCTAATTTCTAACCGTATTATTCCTATTTTTCTTTTTTCGTTTTACGTTTTTTTAATGATTATACATACATATATGTGTATATGTATGTATGATATTTCATTTTAATCATTGATGAGATTCATTAGTGGGATAAGAATTGATATAAGACATGATGAAGAACTTGAGGATAGTCGGTCCAAGAGTCGTATAGGGTTTGATCTCTCTTTTTTTCCCCGGTAAAATAATCAACTGTCATACTTCATAAGTTCACAGTGACTACCGCCACTACGGAAAAAAATATATAATAACATTCTATATGGATTCTCGACCGCATATATATATATATATGTACATGTTTGTGTCATGTTTTATATTAAATTATAAATGCTACCACATATACAATCATTCTTTCGTTGAATGGAACGATCTCATCCAATATCAATCTTCTGTTGAATATAGTATTTGATTAGTCAAAGGTTTGAATTAGATACATCTCTTTAATTGGTAAACAATATATATATATATATATATATATGCAATTCCATTATCTATTCTAAAGCCATAACACCATATTCGTTCGTAATCATTACAGTTATTCACCACTTCTATCTTATATGCATAGACACGTATATATAGGTAATGTATATATAAACCCATTTCGTGGAGAGAAAAAAACAAGACAAACTTTGGTGTTCCATTGAGAAAACCTCTTAAAAAAACCATCTCTCTCTCTCTCTCTCTCTCTCTCTCTCTCTCTCTCTCTCTCTCTAGAACATGAGAGTTTCAATCTCAATATCGGACACGATCGCATGTTACTGTCTAACGGCACTTCTGGTCCTAACCCTAGCGAGCTCCTCCGTTAGGGACCCCCGTGGAAGCGGCGAATTTCCGGCGAGAGATAAAATCTCCGGCGACGTGAGAGGGAGGAGGATGATGGAGAGGCCGTGCGAGGAGATATACGTGGTGGGAGAAGGAGAGACACTTCACAGCATAAGCGACAAATGCGGCGACCCGTTTATCGTGGAGCGTAACCCGCATATCCACGACCCGGACGATGTCTTTCCGGGTCTCGTCATCAAAATCACTCCTTCTTCTTCTTCGAAGATCGTCGATTTTCCTCGATGATCTACGAGCTGGGAAAAAAATGACCCCTGATTGTTTACTATATGTACATGCATAGTGGTTTACGTCTTATACACGCAAAGGGATATAAAAAAAACGTCATGGCCATGGTTTTTTTTTTTTTTTTTTATGTTTGAAGATCACATCGATGTTTGATCTTTTTGTTTTCCCTTTTGGGCATTATGGACCGATGAAATTGTATATGATGGATTGTTTATATGGCTACTTTAAAAGTTACAAACTATAATATATGTTTGATTTCGTAAGTTCTCTAGTAGGTATCCAAGATTGAGTAAATCAATTGATAAAAGATTAGACAAAACTTTTTTTTTAACTAGAGTTCGAGTCTCTATTTATAGAAGAACATTTAACTGGACTTTTCTCTTTATCTAAGAGATATAGTTGAACCGAAGTTGATATGAATTTTCATATTATAAAAAAAAGTCATGTAATAGAAATGATCGATTTTCCCATTTAATATTAATGCGGGCCGATTTATTATTAACGTGGGTTTCATTGTTCTCCACTCTATGTGTGGTCTCGGGATTTAAATAACTACAGCTGACTAGGGGTTACTATTTCTACAACTTTACCAAAAATTGATCGGATTCGATATATTGAAGCTAATCCATTTTAAATTGATCAATCGCCTTTTTATATAAAACTATTTTTTAATCTATCAAATATATGAAGTTTCTTACAAAATAAATATTATGTATTAAAACCCAATCTAAATTAATTTTTAACAGAATTTGGTTGAATTAAAATTGAACTGGATTTTTTTTAAATATAAAAATATGAAGAAAAAAAATTAACATCAATCCCAAACCTCAACTAGCCGCATCCACGTCTATTACCATTTGACCTAAACGTAAAAAAAAAATTAAAAAAAGAAGAAGGAAGAAAATTATTTTAAAAGTCTTGCAAATTTGAGGGGGGAATCATCTTACATAAATATGGCAAAGGCCCAATAAAATAGAACCTAAGAGTGGCCCAAGAGAGGGTATAGGTTGGGTGGGCCGTTGCCCAGGTGGGTTGGTACTCGTCTTCCTTTTCACGGGTTTTTCAAAAATAGTATTCCCTTTTCATTTTTGCCAAATCCGGATATCTACTATTCCCATATCGAATTCGATTGCTCGAAGGTATCCGAATCCATCAAAATGTTTAGAAAATGTTAACTTTTGTTGACTTCAAAGGTATTTTAGTAATTTAATTGAAAATATATTTAGTAATGATTATAAATATAATAAAATATCAAGGATGTAATCATCATTTTATTCATATATGCAAATATGGGGATACCCGTCGCTCAAGCAAAACCAAATCGAATCCACAATCCAGATTTTTATCTCATTGAACTCGTTTTTCTCTTTATTATATAGCGATTATCCGTGAGACTAGGTATCCGAAAACCCGCACTATATGCGTCCACTCTTAATTTTAGGTACACGTTATTACATTATTTTAGTTTCCAATTCAAACTTTTTTTAACTTGTTTTCCCAAATTATAGCTATTTTATTTCTGTATTAGATTAATTTTCTATTCCAATTTTATTAGTAAATATATCATTATAAAATATCTTATTTTTTTCAATATTAATTTCAATTATTAATATATATAATTTGGTTTGGATACCATCCGAACCAAAATGTTCACCACAACACAAAACATTAAATTCAGGATAACCGTCTTCTAATTAAAATATCGAAATTCAGATACGCATACTATCAAATTAATGCAAAGTAAATGAAATTAGGGGCAGTTGAGCTACCCCCTTATATTGTCTTAAAAAGGTTATAGGGAAAACCAAACAAACAAAAAAATGTAAAAGAACTTTAGCATATCTCACTAAATCCAATTTCCTCATATGTGAAATAACCTAATACGTCAACTGATTTCAGCATAAGTCATTTACTTCATACTGTAATATCTATGAGGCGCAATTAATATGATATTTATTTTATGGATGGGAAAATGCCAAAAAAAAAATGTTAATAAATTTCATCCTTTTCGTATTATAAAATGGAAATGCATCGCAATATGATGTTTTCCAATGTATATAGTAGCTAAGTTATAAGAAAATCATTTTCTTTATCTTTATTATAAAGACCCTAAAATCTTTGTATGAACCTTTGGACCAATAAATACGTGTCGTTGAACTATAAAAGCTTGTATTATAAAGACGAGCCTTCTATCGCTTGTTATATAAAGGGCCATAACTCTATAGTTTTTTTTTACATCTCATTAACATTTTTTTGTTGCCTAGATAAAATGTCCCTTCATGTTTTCAGATTTTTTCATCTCTTTGTTCTTGCAATTTTCATCTTTCGTGGTTCTTGTTACTCACAGAGAGGTAAAACCCTGATGATTTCTATTATGATATCATCACATTTTTATATGCGGATTCATATAATTAATATTCTAAAATTTGACAACTGTTCTCACTCATCCATGCATGTTTTAAGTGTAAAACCAAAATTCTTGAACATCATATATATATATATATATATATATATATATATATATATATTATATTATATATCCAAATATGTTATGTAGGTCCACATTACAGATTTATGAGAGATGCGTCAATGGCACCAATGTTGTCTCGCTACGACTACATCGTCATCGGAGGAGGGACATCGGGTTGCGCGTTGGCCGCCACCCTCTCCCAGGCGGCTCGCCCTACGAGAACCCGAGGGCCACCGATATCGGGAGCTTCGCAACCACGCTCTCGGAGACGACCCCGAGCTCGTGGTCGCAGCTCTTCATATCGGAGGATGGCGTGTACAACGCGCGCGCGCGTGTGCTGGGCGGAGGGTCCGTGCTCAACGCGGGGTTCTACACGCGCGCGAGTGACGACTACGTGAGGGGGGCCGGGTGGAGGAAGGATGACGTGGAGGCGGCCTACGAGTGGGTCGAGAGGAAAGTGGCCTTCGAACCGCCGGTGATGGCGTGGCAGTCGGCAGTGAGGGATGGTCTCGTGGAGGTAGGGGTGGTTCCGTACAACGGGTTCACGTACGAACATATACACGGGACAAAGATCGGTGGGACCATCTTTGATCGGTCCGGGCACAGACACACGGCCGCCGACTTGTTGGAGTACGCTGATCCTACGAGACTCGTCGTCTACTTGCATGCGTGTGTTCATAAGATCCTCTTCAGCTCCAAAGGTAAATATAATAATTAACTTAGTCATCCTATAATCAATAGTCTAAATAAACATATAAATTAAGTTTTTTTTAACTGTATGCAGTCTTTGCTTTATATAATATTTTAAGATATGTAGGAGTCCAAAATGCTCTCTCTATATTGTTACATATCATACGAAAAATACCTAAAACGTTCATAAATCCTCATATCTAAGTGGATGATGCACTAAATATGATACAAAATGCTACAAAAAAGCTGTTAAATATGATAAATGGATGCGATCGGACAGGAAGGCCGAGGGCAAGAGCCTACGGAGTGATATTCCGAGATGGAAACGGGGTGTTCCACAGGGCGGAGCTGGCGAAGAACTCGCTGAACGAGATCATCCTGGCCGCAGGGGCCATCGGGAGCCCGCAGCTGCTGATGCTGAGCGGAGTGGGACCACGAGCTCACCTCAGGACACGTGGAGTGAAGCCGTTGGTCGATCAGCCTATGGTCGGGAGAGGGATGGGAGATAACCCGATGAACGCACTCTTCATACCGTCTCCTCTTCCCGTGGAAGTGTCGCTTATACAAGTCGTCGGCATAACCAATTTCGACAGTTTCATCGAAGCTGCCAGTGGCTTGAGCTTCTCGTATAGTTGGACTCGTAGATTCTTTGAAGGAATCTTGAATGTTCTCAACGAGGTACATGTATTCGTTTGTTCGTACAATACAACTAAAGGGCTTGAATCGAGTCAAATGAAAACGGTCGGAATCTGCATTATATAAGTTATAATGGAACGTATAAATCTGCATAATGTATGATTTCGAAACATTTTTTTGCAGACAAATCTTAGTCCTAAAACTTTTTCGACCCAACCCATAGAAGACATGCTCAGATCCATGGATCCTCTGCTGAATGCAACGACGCGAGCCGGCGTGATCTTGCAGAAAGTGTCCGGACCAATGTCACGAGGACATCTGGAGCTTCGGAACACAAACCCATACGACAACCCTTCTGTCAGATTCAACTACTTCCAAGAACCAGAGGATCTGAGGAAGTGCGTTCAAGGGCTTAGCACGATCATCAAAGTGTTCAACACGAGGGCATTCTCCAAGTTTCGGTATCCGGACATGTCTGTTCCTAGGCTGTTGAATCTTATGCTGAGTGTTCCGACCAATCTGAGGCCGAGACATGTGACCTCGACTTTCAATCTTGAGCAGTTTTGCATCGATACCGTTATGACTATCTGGCATTACCACGGAGGTTGTCAAGTCGGGAGAGTGGTTGACAAGAATTACCGGGTTTTTGGCGTCGACGCTATGAGGGTCATCGATGGATCCACGTTTCTCGAGTCTCCCGGGACGAATCCTCAAGCCACGGTCATGATGCTCGGAAGGTAACATAGGGGAAAAAAACAACAGATCTAGTTCTCTATTTTCGAACGAACCGAACATAATATCGTTTTCATATAATGCTTGTTGAAATCTATCTCTTGTGCAGGTACATGGGACAGAAGATGCTTCGCGAGAGAGCGGCTTTCGCCGAGAGGAAGAACCATGATGAGAAGCAAGAATGACATCTTTGTTTCAATCTCTTTTCTGAGAAAGTTCTAATAAATATATATTTCGGTTTGCAATCATTTTTGGTTCGACGTCGGGCGTCTTTGGAACTGCATATCGCGGTTCAAGTAAGGTGAAAATTGAAAGAACGGAAAAATTCAGATGGAGTTTCATAAAAAGGGAACGACTATATATGTAATATACCTATAGCATATGCTGAAATATAAAGTTATTGTTCCCTTTTACGATCTTTTCTTTTGGTTCTTGGACTTTTGGAGAGAAAGGATGGAATCATCTTTAATATATATGGCCACTTCAATTCTCATATATATATATATATATATATAATGTGTTTGAGTATATTCAGAGAATAATCCTTAAGCATATTAGGTCGGTCCAACGATTTATTCGGCTTCATATAACAACGTGCATAAATAAATTTCCGAGGGATTCTAACGATGAATCCTACGAAGACATGAAGCAAATCAGTGAGAGGGCAATTCTACTTTGGCAAGAGAACTATGATCAAATTCAAAGCAGTAGGTGTCAGGAATGCAAGAATCAAGATCTGTCTTGCCAAAGGAGAGTTGCCCTTTGACTGTTTTAGCCTTTTTTTGTTAATGGAACAGATCCTTCGATCTTCTGGTACGAGACATACGTAGGTATGTGTTAGGTTTTGTGTTTCATCAAACCCTAAAGTAAATATTACTTGCGTCCCAAGAAACAAAACTATTTCTGATTCTTGAAAAAACATAACAGGGATCCGGAAAAAAAAAACATAACAGGGAAATCGAAAGAATTAACTACGAAACTCGGGAAATCGTCACTTCGATGGAGGGGATCTCAACTGGATCTGGGCCGTCTTCTTCTCTTTCAACCTTTCCTCGTACTCCTCGAGAGTCATCATGGGTGAAACGGCCTGATGAACCCTAGTTTGCTTCTCGACGCCATTACCGTTGATCATGTCCTTCGTCGAGTTCGCTCTGGTCCGAACAACGCGACGGCTCTCAATGGCATGTCCGGGAAGATTCAGAGGCTTTGATTGCTTGTCCTTGGAGATCGGAGGCTTCTTCTGCGTTTCTTCCTTCTTCTGCTGATGCTTCTTCACGTTCTTGGATTGCTTCTCCCATGGAAGATGAGACCAATCCTTTTTGGCATCTGAATCGGCAACTGGTTTCGGCGCCACGACATCTCCTTCTTCGTCCTCCAACACGGCAAACAGATTTCGCGAAACGTTGAAGTTGAACATGATCGAAGCTCTTTAGTTCCTGTTCTATGCAGAAACCAAGAGTATATATACCTGTATATGTATGTATATATAGTGAATTAGGTTCTCCTAAATCAGTTTATGAAACATAATGGGATATATCAAATTTGTGAATTGTACAAATACACGGAATAGGAAGTCTAATTGAATTGAAGTTATAGTTTTGTTAAAACTTTGTGGGTACGGGAAAAGGAAACCGGTTTACTTCCGTCAAGAAGAGTCATGGCTATAATTAAAACAGAAATTAGCAGTAATTAATAATTAGTTTTTTTAATGTGTGCGTATATAATTATGAGGTGTAAAAATAATAATAACCATGTATTATTCTCTCGATCGCCATTAATACATATCAACAAATTCAGACTACACTAAGACAATTAATTATAACCTATGGGATATACTTTTAATGTTCACACCCAAATTCTACGGTAAAAATAAAAATATATTTTTTAAATAAAATTGAGTAAAATGAAATAGAAATGGAAATTTAATATAGAAACCCACTAACCTCTAATCTTGACGTCATGTCGTATCATTTGCCCAAAAAGGAAAAAGGGGTTGATGTATTATTTTTTATTTTTTATGAAAATTGTGGCATAGCATATGGTGCAACGGGAGAGAAACAATTATATGATTTTGGTGTCAGATAAAATTTGGTTGCGCCCATAAATAAAGTCAAATAAAATCAGAAAGTGATAAAACGGAGGTATTATTATTAAATGGGACCATATCAAATATTATAGTTTTATTTTGGCTAAAGCAAAGAGTACCCTGAAATTTAGCTCCCCTTCATCATTAAACTCTCGGCTCGCGTGCCCACTTTCGCTCTTTTCTTCCTTTTTTTTAGGAAAACAAAAACCGATTTTTCATTAAAAAAAACAAATCAAAAAAATATATTTTTAATATGTAATTTATACATATTCGTAACGTGTTGCATCCGAGAAAGTCTTAGTGATTTAATAATATCTCACAATTTCATAGCATTTAAGGCTTAAGCAATTGGACCAATGTATATTGTTTTCGTTTTTCATTACCAAATTTTTTTTTATAGAAATCTTAGCATCTAAGCATTGTGAAAAAGGCAAAAAGTGAAAAAAGGAAAGACTTTCTTGACCACTTGATATATACGCATTGTTGAATTTTTTTTTTAAAATATATATATTATACATTACTAAAATAATAATGACAAGAAAAATCAACACTTTCTTTTTCCTGACAATCTTCAATAATCCCCGGCAAACTTGCCTCTGCTTTGTTGAATTTATTTTCTTTTCATAGGCTTTTGTATGTTGGACCTTTAAAATTCATATATAAATAACCAAACAAAATTTCTTTATAAGAATTTATAAACAAAATTATTTGCATTTAGATGTTTCTATCTTTTTTTTTCCAATGAATGTTGTTTTAGATGTTTTGTGGAATTAAGAATGCAAAATATATTGAATAAATTGGATGTTCTTTACATTGGAATAATAAAATGACGGTTGTTAAACAAAAATGTGGAAACAAAGAGGGAATGTAACTTAGCTTTGCTTGGACATTTTTTTTTTTTTGATAACGGAACATCCTGGGCCGAAGTCCAGACTAATCTCCGGGCCGGGAGCAAGCCATGTGCTTTGAAATATTCGCTTCTCTCCCCACCCTAGAACTCGAACTTGGGACGGGACAATGCTTGGACAATTTGATTTTGTGAAAATGTAATTCTTGAATTTCACATTTAGGAGTTAATTCTTTAATTGAATTATTTAGCTTTTGGTTCCTCGTGTAATTGGATATATGTGGTTAAATTGAATGTGAAAAAACATACTTTTGCCTTTGTCCTAGGTTATTTAAAATGGCACAAAGCTAAGCCAACACCATGACGAAGCCAAGTGAAAAAAAAAATCTCAAAGCTTTTGTCAAAAAAAAAAAAAATGAAGCAACCATGTCCCGGAGATTCATCACCACCACCGCAAAACTGCCTTCACGGTTGTTTCTCCTCGCACTTACTCTCCTCCTCCGACGATCCTCCGCCGCAAAACACCGCCGTCTCCGGCCTCACCTCCGCCACCCTCCGCCGTGACTTCGCCAGAACCACAGTCTCCACCGTCTTCGCCGACGCCATCTTCACAGACCCAAACTCACTCCCTTCTCTTCAAGAATCATTCTCCAACTTCATCCAGGCCTTCTCAAAGTACTCCCAAACCTACAAAATCGACAGAATCCGAACCGACCAGTATTTCCACCTCGCTCTGTCGAATCACACTTGTCTTGATTACATCGGAATTGGGTTGTACTCTTACTCTCAGTTACTCAACTACGACCCTGCAAGTTACCAGATCCCATCTTCTTTGTCTGAAAGCCCCTTTTTCAGTGTTTCCCCGACGGTTGGGAACTTGAAGGAGCGGCTTCTCCATGACGGCGGTCAAGAAACTGAGTTCGAGTGCGCGATGAAGAAGAGGATAATGGGTTTTCTGAAAATCTCCGAAGATGATTACTCGATGGTTTTTACAGTGAATCGGACTTCGGCTTTCAGGCTTGTCGCTGAATCTTACCCTTTCCAATCAAACCGGAGGGTTTTGTCTGTTTATGACTACGAGAGTGAAGCTGTTGATGAGATGAACAGAGTGTCTGAGAAACGTGGGGCAAAAGTTTCAGCTGCAGAATTCTCATGGCCGAGGCTTAGGATCTGTTCTTCGAAGCTGAGGAAGATGGTCACTTCTGGGAAAAAGGGTAGCAAGAAGAAGGGGATTTTCGTTTTCCCGCTCCATTCTAGGGTTACTGGATCTCGGTATCCGTATCTATGGTTGAGTGTCGCGCAAGAAAACGGATGGCATGTGATGATCGACGCATGTGCTCTCGGCCCTAAGGATATGGATAGCTTCGGCCTTTCGATTTATCACCCCGATTTCATGGTGTGCTCGTTTTACAAGGTGTTTGGCGAAAACCCTTCCGGTTTCGGTTGCTTGTTCGTTAAGAAATCCACCGTTCAAGTTCTAGAATCTTCAACATCCTCAGGTATGATAAACCTGGTAGCCATGAACAATCCATTTTCCTTACCCACTTCAGAGATGAACCGGGTTTTGCCAGAATCAGATGAAACAGATAGCTGGAGATCGTTTGAATCGATCGAATGCAGATGCTTGGATCATATCGACTCGCTCGGGCTGGTAATGACGAGCAACAGATCGAGATGCTTGATCAATTGGTTGGCAAGTGCACTGTTGAAACTTAAGCATCCTAAAACCGTGGGAGGAGATTCAAGCTCAAACTCGGAAAAACGTTTGGTTAAAATCTACGGTCCGAAAGTAAATTTCAACAGAGGACCCGCTTTAGCATTCGATCTGTTCGATCAAAAGGGGGGTAGAATCGAACCACTGATCGTTCAGAAGCTCGCGGAGCACAGTAGCATTTCTCTAGGGCTAGGGTTCTTGAGAAACATCTGGTTTGGGGAAGAATACGAGGACGTGAAAGAGAGTGTTCTTGAGAAGAGAAGGAACAAAACCGATCCAGGGGTTTCTGTCGTCACCATAGCGTTAGGGTTTCTTGCGAATTTCGAAGATGTTTACAGGTTTTGGAGCTTTGTCGGTCGGTTTCTAGATTCCGAGTTTGTCGAGAAGGAGAGATGCAGATACGGTGTTCTTGAACATAAGAGCCGTGAAGTGTTGTAGAGAGTTCTGTTATGTTCCGTCTTCACTTAAAAAAAAAAAAAAAACTTTCTCCTCGGCTTAATTTACGTTCTTAAGATCACATACCGGCCCAATAAGGTGAGCTACGGCCCAATAAGGGCCCCCATATCCGGTCCAAGTGAAATCACAGAGAATATAAAATTGAGGATCTTGAGGTGAGGGCCCCTCTTCCATATTTGTAGGGTTCTTGGAGAGGATAAGGTGCGGTGGGGCTATTCCTACTTTTCTAGGGTTTGGTTCTTTTCTCCTTCTCCCTTTTTTCCCCAAGAAATAAAATGTATTTATGACTTTAATTTTCGTGTTTAGCAGTCAAATCTGTGAAAAAAGGGTTCAGTAATTTTCCCTGAGAAAAAAAAAAATCATTAAAATTTTTTGGAGCTTTCAACAAATTTTCCAGAAAATCTTGTGGAAGTTCATCCTCTCCTGCGATTACTGTTGCAGATTATTCGTGGGTCCTCTTCAAGTTTACGTTCTAAAGCTCATCCTCTTCAAGTTTTCTTTTTCAAGAAACCGTAGAGCTTTTGGTTATGGAGTCGAATCAGGAAGGCAAAGCGATACGAGAGATTGACGAAAATGTCGTCCTAACCGACGCCGTCAACGTCAACAATAAAGGATCCCCAGTAAACCGGACCCACCCGGAATCTGACCCGGTTCTGCCCATGAAGCAGGAGACCACGATGGACCGTTCCCTCTCCGTCGCCATCCTTAGCCGCCGTAGCGCCGCGAAGAAGCCGGCGAAGGACCGCCACACGAAGGTCGAGGGTCGTGGTCGGAGAATACGAATGCCCGCCGCCTGCGCCGCTCGGATCTTCCAGCTGACCCGAGAGCTTGGCCACAAGTCCGACGGTGAGACTATACGGTGGCTCCTCGAGCGGGCCGAACCCGCCATCATCGAAGCAACCGGGACCGGAACCATCCCGGCGATCGCCGTTTCCGTAAACGGAACCCTAAAAATCCCGACGGTGTATCCGGAAAAACTGGAGAATGCCGGCGCCGACGATGAAGAAGCGGCGAGGAAACGGAGGAAGAGGAACTGTAACAGCGAGTTCATCGACGTGAGTGAACAGAGTGTGGGCAGTTCCGTGACTTCGGGACTGGCGCCGATAACGGCGTCAACTTACGGCGTCAACGTCAATGTGAACGTCAATACGCAGAACCTGGTGCCGTTTTGGCCAATGGGCCCAGCTACTGCTGCGTTGGTAGCTAATGGGCCGAACCACTCAGCCCATCTGTGGCCTATACCTCCGTTTCTGAACGTGGCGGCGAGGTCCATCTCGGCA